CGTGCGCGTGGTCACCTCCTTCACCAGCACGTCGCAGTAGTAGAGGCGGATGTGCAGCCAGCAGTCTGGGGCAAAGGGAGGGTCAGTGCATGGGCAGTCTGGGCTGGTGGGGTCACACAGGGCATTGCCTGCGGCATGGCTCCTACCTGAATTGTTGACATCCTCCACAGGGAGGTAGGACTGGGGTCCGGGAAGAAGCTGGCCATGGGTTGGGTTCCAGCCATAGAAGACTCCCCTGACAAGGCACCCTGGACCAGGGCAGAGATGAGGTGGTAAAAGGACATGGACAATTACCCCAAGGGCTCCCAGGCACTCTACTGGCCCAAGCCCCTGGGCCCACACTTCCCACTGTGTTTGCCCATTATTTGGCCTCATCATATCCCCTAAGGGAATGGCTTTGCTGGGATAGGGTGGGAGCCCTCAGCTCCTACCTCAATCCCCATAGGTATTCCCTGCATGAGTGACAGGAGAGCAGGATCCTGGCAGAAGTGACCACTCCCTGCCCCCAGCCCCATCCCACCGAGAGGGACCCTCCTCACCTCGCTCGGTGGGGTGGCCAGAGAGCCAGGGCTGTGGAGAGACATGGGCACTCTCCAGCATGTCCTTCTGGCTTTCCTCCTTCTTCGGACTCCCTGCAGTGCTGCCCTGGGGGTAGGAGCAGCTTTGGTGAGGGCTGAGCTGGCACTGGGGGATCCTAAGCCAGCTCCTTCCTCTACGATGGACCCCATAAGCCAGCAGATCCCCTGCCTGGGTCTGGCAGTGTAGGGCACAGGGGGCCCTCTCTGAAGCCCCCGTGGGACAAATGCAGGCAGTGTGCAAGCAGGGAAGCAGCTGATGGGTGAGGGGGGGATTTGAGGGTCCCACCTTCTCCCCTGCCTGGATGGCACAGGGCAGGCTCACCTGCTGGTCCTCACTGCCTGGGGACTGTGTGTCACTGTCCTCTGCAGAGAGCAAGAAAGAACGGGTGAACCCCTGGCAAAGGCAGGAACAGCCCCAGGGAAGACAGCTGGTGTCAAAGGAGTGGGGAGGAAGGGTAATGGCTGTGGGGCACGGGGCTTGTACAGGCAGGGTTCAGGTATGTTCAGCTATCAGCCCCACATCAGGCACAGGAGGAGGGATGGCAGGGACGTACCTGCATCACAGGCTCTGTCAGTCACGATCTGGTACACCTTGTAAGGCTCGGAGATGTCCAGCTGGCTCCGCTCGGGCACCTCCTGGAAGTCGGTGCTCTTGTTGAGGGCGCAGCGCAGCCGCGTCTTCCAGGTGGAGGGGTCGGCCTTGTCCGTCCCTTCGTGGTACTTCCCCTTGTAGATGGCCCAAGCCTGAGGGACAGAGGGTGCCCTGTGCTATGGGGGTGCCACAACCTGACCCCGGCTCGGCTGTCCAAGGGGGTCCAGCGGGGTGGGGGAGCCGGGGCTGTGTGTCCAGGGGATTCCGGGAAGCTGGGCGCTGCGGGGTGCCGGGGGAGCACACCGGGAGCCCCGGGAGGGTGCACGGAGCTGGGCAGTGTGTGCCAGGGGTGTGCATGGTGCCAAATCCCAGCGCTGTGCACAGAGCCAGGTCATGGAGAGCCCTGGAGGTGCACATGGAGCTCGGCTGCACAGGTAAACGGGGTGAGCGGTGCCGGGGCGCGCACGGAGCTGGGCAATGGGGAGCCCCGGGAGCNCCGGGCCAGCACGGCCCCCGCAGGGACCCCCGAGAGTGGCCAAACTGGAGTCCCCCCGGCCTCGGGGAGCTGGGGGGCTTTGACACAAATTTGGTCCTCACATCAGCACGGAGAGCCCCTGCCAGGCCTGTTTCTATCCTGGGGCTGGCTGTGCCATCAGGTCTGGGTGTTGCTGCTCCTGGAGAGCTCCCTTTAACAGGGATGGGGGGTGCAAGTACAGCCCCCCACTTTGCCAGCATCACTCTGGCCCCACTCCTGTGCTTAGAGGTGCTGACTCGGGTGTCCCAGTGCTGTATGGGAAGGGACTGGTGGCCAGGCCCCCTCCTGGGGCTGTGGGGGACTCTGCCCACTCCATTGTCCCCCCCATTTGGGCCAGTTGGGGCACATCCCTGTGCCCAGCCCAGTGAGACCAGCAGTGACTCAGCTGGTGCCTCTCCACTGGCAGCCACCCTGCATGATTCAGGTCACAGGAATCCACTTTCCTGGCTGTTCCCATCAGAGCTGCAGCCCCTGGCACAGCCCATCTTTGGGGCTGCCCTGGTCTCTGCAGGGACTGGTTGGAATCCCAGCCAAGCACTGACACAGCCACAAGCAAGGACAGGGAGGGGAGGGAGCCCCGTCCCCCCCCATAGCAGAGCCTCCACGCTGTGCCACAACCCCTGGTGCATCCCCACAGTCTCTCTGGGGTCCATTTGCAGGGCCACACACTGAGGCTGGTGCCACTTGTGCCATGTGAGACATCCTGTGAAAAACCAGGACCTTGGAGGGGTCCCAGGCCCATAGAGGTGACAGTGGGGCTCCACTGGGGGATAACTTCTGCTGCAGCTCATCCACCTGAACCCCAGGGACAAAGTTCCCTTGTACTGCCATGGATGGCACTTCAGGGGCTCCTGGTTCCACACTGTGGCAGAACCTTGTCCCCAGCATCTCCCTGGGACACAGGACCGGGGTGTAGGTGCCCTGACCAAGGCCATGCCCTGTCCCCACATGGCCTCAGCATCCAGTCAGTGATCACTGACAGAGGGACTGGTGGGGATGGAGGCTGTGCCAGGTGGCCCTGGGCACCTATGTCCCCAAGCCAGCACCTGAGCTGGGTCTGGGGGTCCCCAGCTTGCCCCTGCCCACTGCCCACCTCGAATGGGGCACAGAGACCACAGAGGCAGCATTGGGGAACGTTGCTTTATTAGGAGCTGGGTTGTGCCGGGGTAGGGAGTCCCTCACTCGAAGAAGAACATGCCGGGTGTGCGATAGAGACAGGGGGGCAGCCCCAGGGGGTACCCATTCCCCCCCTGCAGTGGGATCGTTGTCCCTGGCCCCCAGGGCTCCTTCTGC